AGCCCGGTTCACCGGAGTCCTGCTAGCCCAGTGCTACAGCCTGGATTCACTCGCTGATGACCGACACGTTCGATGCTGGGTCATGGATGCCTGTCCCTGTAAGTTTGTGCCACTTTGGGTTTACGACTAGCCATGTCAGCCCGGGCTCCTTATCATATGGATGCTAGCGACACTGTCATATATGTGTGCCAAAAGGCGCAAACGGTCCCGGGTAAAGGTAAGGCGACACCCGTGGGAATACCGTGCGTGAGGCCGCAAAGTGATATGAAGTGTTACATGCTAGATCTATGTGGCATTGAGTCGGGGTCCTGACAGCGTTGGTATCAGAGCTTGACTGCCTGTAGGATTACCAAGCCAAACTGGTCGAAGTTGAGTCTAGAAATGCTTTAGTTATATAAGGGAATTGATTGTGGGATGGAACGTAAGGTTCTTTTTACTCCTTATACCTTATGTCCTTCTGATCTGAGTCATCTTATCTTTCCTACGGGGATTAAGAACTAGGCCTTCTCTTCTTTCTATCAGGATCACGTGTTACTAATCCGTAGACTTATAGGATTGTTGGATTTAAGTCTCAGTTCAGTTCCTACTACTTCCGCTTTGCCAGACGTTCATAACATCTGGTGTTGCTCCTACAGCAGGCTTGGCACTTAGCGGTGCTTCCAGGACGTAATTCTTCTATGCAGCAATGAGGATAATCCTCAAGTTATGGACCCAGTCCGTGTAATTGCTACCATCATCTTTCAACTTTGCTTTCTCAAGGAACGCATTAAAATTCAACGGAACAATAGCACGAGTCATCTATCTACAATCAAACATCGACAAGCAAGATCTATCAGGTACTAAGTTCATGATAAATTTAAGTTCAATTAATCATATTACTTAAGAACTCCCACTTAGAAAGATATCCCTCTAATCCTCTAAGTGATCACGTGATCCAAATCAACTAAACCATGTCCGATCATCACGTGAGATGGAGTAGTATCAATGGTGAACATCAATATGTTGATCATATCTACTATATGATTCACGCTCGACCTTTCGGTCTCCGTGTTCCAAGGCCATATCTGTTATATGCTAGGCTCGTCAAGTTAAACCTGAGTATTCCGCGTGTGCAACTGTTTTGCACCCGTTGTATTTGAACGTAGAGCCTATCACACCCGATCATCACGTGGTGTCTCAGCACGAAGAACTTTCGCAACGGTGCATACTCAGGGAGAACACTTATACTTTGATAATTTAGTGAGGGATCATCTTATAATGCTACCGTCAATCAAAGCAAGATAAGATGCATAAAAGATAAACATCACATGCAATCAATATAAGTGATATGATATGGCCATCATCATCTTGTGCTTGTGATCTCCATCTTCGAAGCACCGTCATGATCACCATCGTCACCGGCGCGACACCTTGATCACCATCATAGCATCGTTGTCGTCTCGCCAATCTTATGCTTCCACGACTATCGCTACCGCTTAGTGATAAAGTAAAGCATTACAGCGCAATTGCATTGCATACAATAAAGTGACAACCATATGGCTCCTGCCAGTTGCCGATAACTCGGTTACAAAACATGATCATCTCATACAATAAAATTTAGTATCATGTCTTGACCATATCACATCACAACATGCCGTGCAAAAACAAGTTAGACGTCCTCTACTTTGTTGTTGCAAGTTTTACGTGGCTGCTACGGGCTTAGCAAGAACCGTTCTTACCTACGCATCAAAACCACAACGATAGTTTGTCAAGTTGGTGTTGTTTTAACCTTCGCAAGGACCGGGCGTAGCCACACTTGGTTCAACTAAAGTTGGAGAAACTGACACCCGCCAGCCACCTGTGTGCAAAGCACGTCGGTAGAACCAGTCTCGCGTAAGCGTACGCGTAATGTCGGTTCGGGCCGCTTCATCCAACAATACCGCCAAACCAAAGTATGACATGCTGGTAAGCAGTATGACTTATATCGCCCACAACTCACTTGTGTTCTACTCGTGCACAACATCAACGCATAAAACCTAGGCTCGGATGCCACTGTTGGGGAACGTAGTAATTTCAAAATTTTCTACGCACACGCAAGATCATGGCGATGCATAGCAACGAGAGGGGAGAGTGTTGTCTATGTACCCTCGTAGACCCGAAGCGGAAGCGTTAGCACAACACGGTTGATGTAGTCGTACGTCTTCACGGCCCAACCGATCAAGCACCGAAACTACGGCACCTCCGAGTTCTAGCACACGTTTAGCTCGATGACGATCCCCGGACTCCGATCCAGCAGAATGTCGGGGAAGAGTTCTATCAGCACGACGGCGTGGTGACGATCTTGATGTTCTACCGTCGCAGGGCTTCGCCTAAGCACCGCTACAATATTATCGAGGATTATGGTGGAGGAGGGCACCGCACACGGCTAATAGATCTCAAGGATCAATTGTTGTGTCTAGAGGTGCCCCCTGCCCCCGTATATAAAGGAGCAAGGGGGAGGGGCGACCGGCCAGGAGGAGGCGCGCCAGGGAGGAGTCCTACTCCTACCGGGAGTAGGACTCCCTCCTTTCCTTGTCCAACTAGGAGAGGAGGAAGGAAGGGAGAGAGGAGAGAAAGGAAAGGGGGGGCGCCGCCCCTCCCTCCTTGTCCAATTCGGACTAGAGGGGGAGGGGGCGCGCAGCCTGCCCTGGCCGCCCCTCCTCTGCTCCACTTTGGGCCCATGAGGCCCATTAACCCCCGGGGGGTTCCAGTAACCCCCGGTACTCCGTTTTATATCCGATAACTCCTGAAACCATTCCTGTGTCCGAATATAATCGTCCAATATATCAATCTTTATGTCTCTACTATTTTGAGACTCCTCGTTATGTCCGTGATCACATCCGGGACTCCGAACAACCTTCGGTACATCAAAATATATAAACTCATAATGAAACTGTCATCGTAACATTAAGCATGCGGACCCTACGGGTTCGAGAACAATGTAGACATGACCGAGACACGTCTCCGGTCAATAACCAATAGCGGAACCTGGATGCTCATATTGGCTCCTACATATTCTACGAAGATCTTTTATCGGTCAGACCGCATAACAACATACGTTGTTCCCTTTGTCATCGGTATGTTACTTGCCCGAGATTTGATCGTCGGTATCTCAATACCTAGTTCAATCTCGTTACCGGCAAGTCTCTTTACTCGTTCCGTAATACATCATCCCGCAACTAACTTATTAGTTGCAAGGCTTGCAAGGCTTATGTGATATGCATTACCGAGAGGGCCCAGAGATACCTCTCCGACAATCGGAGTGACAAATCCTAATCTTGAAATACGCCAACCCAACAAGTACCTTCGGAGACACCTGTAGAGCACCTTTATAATCACCCAGTTACGTTGTGACATTTGGTAGCACACAAAGTGTTCCTCCGGTAAACGGGAGTTGCATAATCTCATAGTCATAGGAACGTGTATAAGTCATGAAGAAAGCAATAGCAAGAAACTAAACGATCAAGTGCTAAGCTAACGAAATGGGTCAAGTCAATCACATCATTCTCCTAATGATGTGATCCCGTTAATCAAATGACAACTCATGTCTATGGTTAGGAAACATAACCATCTTTGATCAACGAGCTAGTCAAGTAGAGGCATACTAGTGACACTATGTTTGTCTATGTATTCACACATGTATTATGTTTCCGGTTAATACAATTCTAGCATGAATAATAAACATTTATCATGATATAAGGAAATAAATAATAACTTTATTATTGCCTCTAGGGCATATTTCCTTCATCTTCTTGGTCGTTGGCGGCTGGGCGGTGGGGGAAGCGGCGGCGGGAACCAGCTTGCTCCCCGGCGCAAAATGGCGGCGGCGGGCGAGTGGGGGCAGGGGCGGCGTTGTTGGGCGGATGTGGAGGCGGCGGCAGCTGGAAGAGTCGCCGGCAAAATGGGCGGCGGCGTCGGTGACGGAGGAGGCGGGGGCGAGGGTTGCTTGTTGGCCGGGAGGAGGGGAGGCCAATGTGCCACAGACGAGCGGGCCCGAGGAAAGGAGTAGGCGAGCGCGCGCGTCCGTCTCGTGTCCGCGCCGACACAAATCAGGCTCAAAAATGGGTTGGGAATGGGTCGCCCACGGACGAAAAACGGACGTGCGTCCGTTTCGGTCGACGCGTTGGGCCGCCTTTTCTGTCCGCGCCGACCCGAACGGACGGCCGCGGACGAAATGGGTCGCCCCATTAAAGTTGCTCTAACCGATGCTATATTCATAGGATATAACGTTGAGGTCCGTGCAATTTTTTTAGTTATTCTTTTTTCTTGACTTGATTATAAATTTTAGTCGACTGATACGTAGACACATCCTATTGAGAAATACTACTCTCTCTATCGTAATATTTGTCGTTGAAGCCGCTGACAAATATTACGGTACAGAAGGAGTAGTACATAATTTTATATAGGGAAATGTATGATTAGATTTTAAGATGTGAGCTCCATGAAAACAGCAGTTCGTGGATATTGATAGTGAGCAGCGTATCTGCTAAAAATCCATGAATTTGTTTTTTTCTGTGTGTAGCTCACATCTTAAATAACCCATGGAGTATCAATGTATCACAGTGAAAATTTACACACATGTAGATGTACATGTAGCCTTTTTTGAAACTTGATTTTTTTTCGAGTTTAAAAAAAATGGGGCTCCATGCAGGTTGGAGGCTTGGATTACCTTTTGAAATCAGTAGAAAAATGAAGTTGTTCAAGGGAGCATCATGGACGAGAATGGAATTACATCACCAGGATAAATAGTTTGAGGTTGGTACACAATACAATTACACCTTCCATAGGAACCGGATATACAAATCTTACAAGATGAATATCAAACGGAAAGATGGTAATAATAGTAATAATAATAATAAAATAAATTGTAGTAGTACTAAATGAACAAACAAGAAGCGAGTGGCTTCATCGACCGAACAACAACCTTGATTTCAAACTTGTGGCTTAAATTATGCGCGTCGGATGTGGAACGGACGGACGGATCAGGCGCAGGTGTAGCCCGGGGGCACGGCGCAGCCGCAGTCGTTGACGAGCAGCTGGAGGGCGAGCGGCACGTAGAGGGCGAGGTTGAGCACCTTGGCCTTGATGGCCGTGCAGAGGCACGCCGCGGCGGTGAGCCCGGCGATGCCCTCCACGAGCGGGCAGCACTTGACGCTGGCGTCGCCGATGTGCAGCTCGTTGCCGAGCAGGTCCAGGCACACGCCCAGCTTCAGCGTGTCGATCGGGCACGTGTCGGAGGAGGGCGTGGGGCTAGGCGTGGGCGTCGGCGGAGTCGGCGCCGGGGTCGGGGGAGACGGGGTGGGGGTCGGGGGCGAGGGAGGGCACGCCTTGCGTCCGCCGTGGCGGGTCTTGGGGGACGGGGAGCCCCCGATGATGGGAGCCACGACGCCGATGACGGGAGTGACAACTCCCCCGACGACGGGGACGCCGCCAACCACGCCGCCTACGGTGCCGACGACAGGAGAGACCACGCCACCGGCGGCAGGGACGGCGCCGCTGACGACGGGGACTTTGCCGACGACGCCGCCTACGGTGCCGACAACAGGAGCAACCGCGCCGCCGACGGCTGGGGTGACTTTGCCGACGACACCGCCCACGGTGGGGACGGCGCCGCCGACGACTGGGGTGACTTTGCCGACGACACCGCCCACGGTGGGGACGGCGCCGCCGACGACACCGCCGATGACCGGGGTGACTTTGCCGACGACACCGCCGACGGTGGGGACGGCGCCGCCGATGATCGGAGTGACGGTGCCAACGATACCGCCGACCGGGGGTATGCTGACGCCGCCGGCCGAGGGCGTGCCGCTCGACGGGGTGCCGCTGCCGCACCCGGAGGCGGGGGAGCACGCGAGCACGACGGTGGGCGAGGAGAGCGCCAGCATGGCGAGCACCAGCAGCGCGGAGATCTTCGTGGACTCCATTGCAGCTACCTCTCCGAGCTCAGGCGGCGATCGACCGGGTCCGTGTTACGTGGGGTGCTGTTGTGCCTGTGTCTCTGGCCGAGCACGCTTTTATAGGCGCGCGCGCGTGACGGGGGCCGGGCGTGGGGCACGCACGGGAATTATTGCAGCGCGCGCGATGCCATTGGTGTGCGGTGGCAATGGCATGCAATGCGGATGGCTGGCGGAGCCAACCCAACCGGCCGGCTGGCCGGACCGGTCACGTGGAGGCGCAGCGGCGGTGGGGGTGGGGGATCGCCAGTGCAGCTGGCCGGCTTGGCTGGTTGCCGAAGCGGCCAAAAGAGGCGCGGCCGGCGTGTGACTCGCCCTTGTCCGCGCCCGTCCGCGCGCTGCATGATTGCAGCCTAGGTGAGCTAGCGTGATGCGCCTTCCGAGCTACGTAACGTACCTAGTTGCTTCCATGGTTGGGCCTAGGATTAGGGCTACATATGTGTGATGTACGCGTAATCAATCGGTCGGTACTGTGTTTGATGTGCTATGTGTTCGTCTTCCTCGCGCCCTGGGTTCAGTTTCAGACGTCCTGCACTTTCAGTTCAGCAAGAACAGCGCGGAAACCATGAGGCGGATTGAAGTTTCTGGTTTTGTTGCAGTGGAATTTAGGAGCTATGCGCAGTCCATGTGGCATATGTTCATCTCAACCCGCACTTTCAGCGAGATATGTGTGGTGTACGTGTAATTGATAGGCACCACTGTCTAGTGTCCTGTGTTCATTCATCTCGCCCGGCCGCTGGGTTTAGTTCCAGTTAAACTTCAACGTAGTGCAGATTCTGCAAGAAAAGCGCAGAAACAATGGGTGAGATTGAAGTTTCTGGTTTTGTTGCAGTTGAGTTGAGGAGCTATGAGGAAAAGCAGTTCATGTGTACTATGTTCATTTGAACCTGCGCTTTCAGCAAGAAGGGTGCAGGAGAGGAAACCGTGGGTGACACTGAAGGAAGTTTCTGGCGTTATTAATTGCAGTGCAATTGAGGAGCCATGGGCAGTTCATCAGTTGAGGTACATATCGGATCCTCCCTTGAGATATATACCTTGCTTACATGCAGAGAGAGGGCTGGCCAGGCCAGTTGGGTCGGCGTCCATGGCCCTGTTTGGATCATGGGGTTAGAGCTAGTTTGGGTTAGTTGGAGGCTCAAATAACGCAAAAGTATCCAAACATGAAGGGTTAGAGTGGGTTAGTTCCATCTAACCCAACTATCTCGGTGAAGAGATGCTTATTTGGGTTAGAGTGGGTTAGAAAATAACTCTAACTCTAACTATGTTAGAGTATCCAAACAGGGCCCATGTCTGCTTCACAGTAAGAAAGCTGTTTCCCTCCAGCGTTGCGTTTGGAGCTGTCCGGCCAGTACTCCAATCATCTCGACCTGTAGCCAGCTGATACACTGAGCGAAGACCCCCTCAGCATCTGCTGGGTAGCTCGATCCCAATGCCTCGATCGGTCGGTTCAGCATTGCAATTTGCATGCATGCATGCATGTGAGCGACTGTGCAACCCCAAAGAAAGCAATCAATCAAGCAACACCTTTTGCATCGATCTACTAGCTAGCTAATAAGCCCGGCTAAAATGTTCCATCGGCCGGTCTAGTCAGTAGTCACACACATCTCATCTCACACTACTAACCTACATCCACACACGCATACCGACCGGCGCGCAGAGGCCAGAGGCCAGCCAGCAGCACACGCCATCGATCGAGATCGTGCATGCTCATGTGACGGGGACGTACGTGGCCGCGCTCATCCGACAGGATCGAGCGAGGCCAGTTCAGCGCGATGGGACGTACGTACGCAAGGCGCCTCGTGATTCCCCTTCCACCCGATCGACCGGCGCCAGGATCATCGACGTGCCTGGCTGACACCGCCGCCGCGTTTGGCCTCACGCATCGTTTCGGCAACCAGGCCCGGCCCTAGCTAGCTAGACAGCAAGCGAAGTTTGTGGCGACGACGTGAGCTCCAGCCGGGTCGTCTTGGCGAGCGGCATGGGCGGGTATTTGGTCGCATGCGTATTCAGAGAGAGACAGGCAGGGCAGAGATCTCGTGTAGCTGTCTTTCATGGGATTTTGTAAGTACGCATGCGAGATTAATTACTCCATGGTTATTTCGGCTTGAGATTTCATCGATCAGGAACTGCGCGTCGGCGTGGTACACACACAAGTCGCAGCCACGGCGCCGCAGAGGTAGCAGCCTACGGCTTGGGAAGAGGATGGAGCCATGGAGGAACGGCGAGGAGGTTGTGGAGCGTCCCGGACGGAAATGCACCGTTGGTGGTGTGGCCACGCTGTTCGGACATGGCCGGAGTGAGCTTGAGCTGCTAGTGCATTTCATCAAACATGTGCTGTGCGTACTCAAGGATGGCATACATGGCAGGCAAGGCAACAGGACCAGCTATGGTCGTATGACAGAAATAAAAGGAGGACCGTGTCTTCGTGGCAACTCATCCATCATCCAATAATAACGACGAAAAAGTGGAACTATCGTTGCACCGTGGACGTCAAATAGAACAACTCAGTAGATGGAAAAATATGATCATTTGCACGAGAAACATAAACTAGTCCGAAGTACTCGTCATGCCTCGTATGTGATGTATAAATGCATAACCCACCTTTTCCTATTAGCTTGAGCTTTTGGGTGAACTAGCTGGTGCGTGCAGTTCTACATTGTACGCCCATGGTCATGTCTTTGCCACACCTGTCTGAAGCCAAAATTTTGATATCTTTATGCATCTGGCTGCAGAACTAGGCCAACCCGACACATTTTTTTAACACGTTTAAATTGTATAATTTTAATCATAGTATTTGAATTCAATCTTGGTAACATTCCATACATGTGCCAAACATTCAATTGTTTCAAATGCAATGTTTACAAAATTTGTTCCTGTCATTTTTATCTAATTTCATTTATCTTTGTGACACTGAAAAAAATTGTTCATTTTAATGAATTGTTTCAGTGACATTTCATCGTTTCAAAAAAGTCTGAAATACATTTCATAAATAACCACACAAACTTCAATAATTTTAGTCATATTTCAATCCATTTAAGAAACATTTCACAGATATCACATAAATTTCAATTGTGTCAGTCACACTTCAATCTAACTGAGAAACATCTCATGCACGTGCTAAATATTTCTTTGTTTCAAAAAAAGTATCAATATATTTCAGAAGCATATAAATATGCACGCAAATCTCAATTGTTTGAGTCATATTTCAGTCATTTTCATTGTACATGTACTAAACATTACTCTAAATATTTTGCTTGTTTCATAAGTATATGTTAGGTTACGTGCGTTGGCAACGAGGAGACTCCACTGCATAGTGGTTCCTTTAGAAACCCAGTAATATCTCTCTCTCTACAAAAAAAAACTTTCACCAGGCCATGCACGTACCATTTTAATCACAATATTTTACATCAATGTTGGTAATATTTCATATGTGTGCCAAACCATTTTAGTTGTTTCAAACGAAATGTTTGCAAAATAATGTTCCTGTCATTTTTATCTAATTTCATTTATCTTTGTGACACTAAAGAACATTTTGTTTCATTTTTATGAATTTGTTCAGTGCCATTTTATCGTTCGAAAAAAGTTTGAAATGTATTTCATAAATAACCACACAAACTTCAATAAGTTTAGTTGTATTTTAACCAGTTTTAGAAACATTTCACGGATATCACAAAATTTTCAATTGTGTCAATCATACTTCAGTCAAATTCTGAACATCTCATGCACGTACTAAATATTTCTTTCAAAAACAAATATCAATATAATTTAGAAATACATAAATATGCACACAAATCTCAATTGTTTAAGTCATATTTCCGTCAATTCCATTATACAAGTACTAAATATTTCATTGTTTCGTAAGTATGTTAGGTGTACGTTACATGTGTTGGCAATGAGGAGACTCCACTAGAAATGAGTCCGCACTGCTTGAAAAATGGCCGTTGCCGTGTTTCTTTATCTTTGCCGAGAGCTGAACTCGGCAAACTCTCTGCTGACTGGGGATCGGCTTTCACCGAGTTTTTCACGCACTCAGGAAATATGAAAATTGCGGTAGGGCTCCCCCATCTCTCTCTCTCTC